GAAAGTTTTCCCCAAAATATCTAGGCTTCACTTTTGTAAAAGTGAAGTGAGAGACAACACACTACTGAATAATTATGTATGAAACCAAACACAAAGTATAAAAATCTTTAAAGTGTGCAGCTACTGGTTAACCCGTTGCCGCTGGGTGGCACGTACATACATGCCATGGCTGTTTTGGATCGAACGCCGGGGGCATCATGTCATGCCCATTCCCGCGCTGTTTTTCTCCAATAGTAGTGGCTTCATTGATATGGTAGAGATTTTAGGCAATGGCACCTATAATGAAGGTAAACCTTCAAAATTTTAATATTTTTATAAATTTTAGCAAAATAAAAGCTTTTAGCTGCTATATGTCTCTCGCAACTACTCGACGAGCCGGGCGCAAACAGGGGAAACTGCCGGTGCATGCCAACAAGCCCGTGCATACGTCAACTTGCCAAAATTTTTACCTATCGGTGTACTTAAATTACCTTTATCCATTTCTACCACTAGATAATGGTTACATTACTGAAGCATAATTAATACAAAAGATACATGTCTTCTAACTAGTCTCCCTAAACAACCCTGAACTAATGATATCACTCACTCTAAGTAAAAGTGCAGAGAATCCTGTGCTTCCTGGCCAGTTGCGTGCTCAAGGTAGCCAGAACCAATGCCACGAATTGATATGGCAACCCCAGTCTCATCCTGAATGTAACGCAGATTCATTCCACTCTCCCCCAGCAGGCGTGCTCGCACTTCAGTTGGGTTGAGTCCAATGTTTACAGGCAGAAAAACCTTTTCTCTAAATATCTGAAAAGGTTTTCAATTAGTTATTATCCAAATCATAATTTACTTGAAATTTAAAGTTTTGACGAAAGAGGTATTCATTCAATATAAGAGCAGTGAAGGGAAACTTACCCTTGACATGAATATAAACTTCAGCATATAACCTTTGAATAAAACATGACATACATAACATGACATAACACAGCTACTTTTTTTTTAATCCTTTGTGCAAGGGTGGCATCTAGTATTATACCATGGAGGAGCTGAGCCTAAACCATGTGGCAACCCTTCAGATTCCATGGCTGGCTTCATTTACATATGATAAGACTTCGAGGACACTCGTACAAAATGTGCAAATCCAAGAAACATCCCATTCAAGCATCAAATAATATATCATAATTTTTCTAAATGTTCTCTCTCCCTCTCCCTCTCCCTCTCCCTCCCTCTCCCTCTCTCTCCTCTCTCTCTCCCGTCTCCTCTCCTCTCTCTCTCCCCTCTCCTCTCTTCTCTCTCTCCCCTCTCCTCTCTTCTCTCTATCCCCTCTCCTCTCTTCTCTCTCTCCCCTCTCCTCTCTTCTCTCTCTCCCTCTCCTTCCCTCTCTCTCTCCCCTCTCCTCTCTCTCTCCCCTCTCCCTCTCTCTCCCCTCTCCTCTCTCCTCCTCTCTCTCTCCCCTCTCCTCTCTCTCTCCCCTCTCCTTCTCTCTCCCCTCTCCTCTCTCTCTCCCTCTCCTCTCTCCTCTCTCTCTCCCTCTCCTCTCTCCTCTCTCTCTCCCTCTCTTCTCTCTCCTCCCTCTCCTCCTCCTCTCTCCCTCTCCCTCTCCCTCTCTCTCCCTCTCCTCTCTCTCTCTCCCCTCTCCTCTCTCCTCTCTCTCTCCCCTCCTCTCTCTCTCTCTCTCTCTCCCCCTCTCCTCTCTCCTCTCTCTCTCCCTCTCCTCTCTCTCTCCCCTCTCCTCTCTCTCTCCCCTCTCCTCTCTCTCTCCCCTCTCCTCTCTCTCTCCCCTCTCCTCTCTCTCTCTCCCCTCTCCTCTCTCTCTCCCTCTCCTCTCTCTCTCCCCTCTCCTCTCTCTCTCCCCTCTCCTCTCTCCTCTCTCCCTCTTCCTCTCTCCTTCTCTCTCCCCTCTCCTCTCTCTTCTCTCTCCTCTCCCTCTCCTCTCTCTCTCCCCTCTCCTCTCTCTCTCTCCCTCTCCTCTCTCTCTCCCCTCTCCTCTCTCTCTCTTCTCTCTCTCTCTCTCCCTCTCCTCTCACTCTCCTCTCTCTCCTCTCCCTCTCCTCTCTCTCTCCTCTCTCTCTCCCTCTCCTCTCACTCTCCTCTCTCTCTCCCTCTCCTCTCTCTCTCCCCTCTCTCTCTCTCTCCTCTCTCTCTCCCTCTCTCCTCTCTCCTCTCCCTCTCTCTCCCCTCTCCTCTCTCTCTCCTCTCTCTCTCGCCCTCTTCCTCTCTCTCTCCCTCTCCTCTCTCTCTCTCTCCTCTCCCCTCTCCTCTCTCTCTCCCCTCTCTCTCTCCTGCTCTCTCTCCCCTCTCCTCTCTCTCTCCTCTCTCTCTCCTCTCCCTCCCTCTCTCTCTCCCTCTCCTCTCTCTCTCCCTCTCCTCTCTCTCTCCCCTCTCCTCTCTCTCTCCCCTCTCCTCTCTTCTCTCTCTCTCCCCTCTCCTCTCTCTCCCTCTCCTCTCTCTCTCCCCTCTCCTCTCTCCTCCTCTCTCTCCTCTCTCTCTCCTCTCCTCTCTCTCTCCCCTCTCC